AATTTTTCAAGAGGCTTCCCCCCCCCCCGCCCCCCAAACCACAACCTGAGATAAGGCAGCCTAAGAATTTACTCAGCAACTCACAGCTCACTAGATTCTTCCACAAAGTCTGAAAAAGGGAATGACTTCCTCTACCAGAGGTTTTATACTATCTCATTTGATAATGGGCTGAGGCTGCTCAGCTGTGAACACTGATGAGTTTCTCCCAGCTCTGCTGTGATGGTGGTAACAGGAAAGGAGAGATGGAGCGCTTATATCTTAAAGTTGCTACTATACCTAAATCCAGCAGCTTCTTCCCGTCCGAACTTGGGACACTGTGGGAAAATAAGTTGTTACGGGAAAGGCAGAGAGAGCAGGCGGTGTGTGAGGTACACAGGACTGAGGTCCCAGCTGAAGCCAGGGTCTGGATTTCACCTGTGAAGACTTTATCCCATAGTGGATATGTCATTCATGGAAGATATGTCATCATGGCTCTTAGCTGGGATTTATACTGTGGTTCTTATGTTCTGCAGTGGTCCAATACCACTCTGCTATGGAGCTGAAGAGTCTCTCTGTTGTATGTCCCTGTAACATCCAGAACTACAACGCTACAAGAAAAGCCTGGTGCTGAATGAAAGATAAAGATAAATGTGGTATCTTGGTCAGCACCGATTACCACCTATCAGCATATTAAAACAAGGCTCATTCTGAGAGAAGCACTATTCTTGATGACACCCAGAAGGGGACAATCACTGTCACAACACAGAAGCTGCAAGTTGAAGACTCAGGAGTGTACTGGTTGTGCACACTGTATGTGCTCTCATTTTTCCCAAATAAGTAAGATTAAGCTGTCTGTTTCCCAGAGTGAGTATTTCTTTTTAAGGAAAATGTGGCGCATTTTGCAGATTTCTGCCTCACTTTCTCTGCTTACCTTTTCAGTGTTCTGTATTACCTTCTCCCAGGTTACTGAGGAATAGCCATAGTAGGTCAGACCAAAGGTCTCCAACACTGGCTGAAGCAGATAATTAGGAAGGAGTACAAAACCAGAGAAGAACATAGAAACAGCTCTCCAGAATACTCTCCCAGCCTCCAGTGATTTTCTGGAGAGGATATTTTTGTGACAATAGCAATGGCTAAATTCTTTTTCCTCTTTAATTCATCTACTCATTCTGCTGACACATAAAAACTTTTGGTATATGAACATCCCGTGGCAGTGAACTCCACACTTGATGCATGCATGGAGAATTTCCTTTCTTCCTTGTCTCCTAACTAGTGACTTTCTTCTTATAACAGCCAGTGAATTATTGCTCCCGTTCTCTCTCCCTGCTATTCCTTATTTTACAGCCTTTTGTAGTATCACCGCTGTCATTTCCTTTCCAGGCAAAAAGTTGTTTTAGTAATTTCTTGTACATAAGGTGCCTCAGATCTTTCTCTGTCTTGGCTGTTTTTCTCTGATCACCAACTCAGCTGACAAATTCAGAGCAAAGACTCCTGATGTTTCTGTTACAACAAGCTTTGCTTTGTTTGGGGACGTGATTATATTATTCTAAAATTTCTTCAGAAGGACAGAATATTTTGGATATTTATTTTTTATTCAGCATCCCAGTTCAATTCGACCCTCCTGTAGCTAAAATGCTTGTGAATTGGATTACAATATTGTGCTTATTCTAATTGTGGGAAACTGATATAATTGGACGGTTTGTCTGGACCTTACTAACCAGTTTGACCTTTTCCAGAAACCCAAGCATATGTAGCTCGGGAGATGCAGTCTCTCTACTGAGTGCCCATACAACATGCAAGATTACACAAGGCTGCGTGGAAAGCCTGGTGCAAAAAGACAATCGGGAAAGAGTGTGCTGTCTTGGTCAGTACAGAAAAGACAAGCAGTCGGAATGAGAATAACATTCAGAAAGGAAGATGCACCATAAATTATGACACCCAGAGAGGAGTTCTCAGCATCACCATGGAGAAGCTCACAGTACAAGACACCGGGGAGTACTGGTGTGCTCTTAATGATGACTCTCACTTCTTCCAAATAAAGGAAGTTAAGCTGGCTGTTTTCGTAGGTAAGTGTCTCTTTTTTTTAAATTGGAGAAACTCCTTTCTCCTCATTTTTCTTGCAGAAGAACTCACTTCCCAGGCTTGCTGTCCCACCTGCTCCACCCATTCTCTGCTCTCTGTACTTCACAGTTCATTTTACCTACTAGGCTGCTCCTGACTCCCAGTTCCCTCACCCTATCATCTCCAGTTCTTGAATCATACTGGGGAACCAAAAGGACATGCAGAGCCAGGAAGCTGTGTTTAGCTGTCCGTTTTCACAGTGAGCCAAGAGTCAGTTGTGCCAGGAGCTGCTTTGAATGGATTATTTCAGTATTTATTTGCATTGTTTCCCCTGTACTTAAAATCACTTCAGTTGTGCCTGTGGAGACATTACTGTGTAATGTGCAAAACCCAAATGGTTCTGTTTTGGTTTCTCCAGCTGGGCACTCTGGGGGTAGGCACCCCGAGGCACCACGACAGAGCACAGGGCACAAGGGGACTGGCTGGGGTGGTGGACATCTGGGATCCCCAACAGCACAGCCTGTGGGAGGGTCCATGCAGACACAGCCCTGGATGCATCGCCACCCTGGCTTTGAGGAGACTTTCCAGCAAGGGACTGGGCAGAGGGTGTCTTGGGAGCCCAGAGAGAAGGCCTAGGCCAAGGCAAAGGTCCTGCTCCATCTCCATGGCTCGGGACAGCCAAAGGAGTGTCCCGCTGCCACTGGCGTGAGGGCAGAGTGTGACAACGGCCAGGCGAGAGCAGCAAAGGGCCTTTGCCATCAGGACAATCTGAGCTCTGTGCTCAGCCACTTCCCCAAATGCACCCTGAAATTATCTTAATATCAGTCTTGTTGCAAAACGTGGTGAAAGATTTCCGTGAGAAAGCAAGACCTCAGGCACTTCCTCCAGCAGTGTCACTGTGGTGCGGGAGGGCTCACAAGGCAAACACTTTTGAACGGGACACGTTGAGCAGCCCCCAGCAATGTCCCTTCCCCAGGCTTGAGGATGGCCATGGAGCTGAGAGTCCTCCTCCTGCTGCCACTCTGCTTCCCAGGTAAGAGAAGGGCTGGGCATGCCTCAGGCTTCCCACGCACCCAGGGGGAGTGGGACAGCCTTCCCCACATCCCGCTGCCTGTGGAGCTCCACAGTTGGGGGGAATCCAACACCGGACGGACTCCGAGCTGAGCAACTCATGGCAAGGATGGGGAGGGAAGGGGCAGCCCCAGTTCCCACCATTGCTCCGTTTAGGCTTGAAGGTCCAACACCTCTAGCGCGCGCATGTCTGTGGGTTTTAATTCAAAGATACTGGGTTTTAAATCACAGTTGCAGTCCCAGCAAAAATCTCAACACTTCCCACTGGACATCAACCTTCCCATTTCCAAGCAGGTGCATTTACCAGGGGGAATGGATCTCAGTTTTCGGAGTTCCTCCAGCCACAAGTGCCCATGCAGAAAGGTCAGAGGCAGAGTTTCCCCATGTCCGTCGGGAGGCTGTGGGCAGCCCTGCATCAGCTCCCCTCTCCCTCACCACATCTGATATTTACAGGTCTCCAAGCCAAAACACCTGCTGCCAAGGAGAGACGATTGGAAGGAAGCACTCTGTATATCCAGTGTCCTTACACAGCACAGACTAACTCCCAGCAGCAGAAAGCCTGGTGCCACATGAGAGAGAACAGATGGAAGCCCTTAGTGGAGACGACCGAGCCATCACAATACCCATACGGAACCAATGCCACAAACGGGAAAGTTACAATAGAGGACAACCCCACGCATAGGACCGTGTCAATCACCATGACTAACCTCCAGGTAGAGGACTCAGGCACATACTGCTGTGCTTCCCATTCCTACGGTAACAGGTATCTTCCACTAAAGACTATCTCACTGAATGTTTTCAAGGGTGAGTACCTTTTTCCCCACACAAACACAAGTCTTGTCAGAAAGCAACATCATTCCTTCCCCTGCTCCGTGCCCCCTCTCCCACACAGCTGAGCAGCTGCCCCCAACCCCCCACCCTCCCCAGCCTCGCTCCCCACCTTCCCTACTCACACAAGCACGGTGTGAAGGAGCCCCACAGACCCAGCTGGCCCTGCGGCTCCCTCTTGTCCTGCCCTACCTCACCCCTGCCCTGAATGACAGGCCATCTGTGAGGGAGTTGCCCCAGGGCAGAGTTTGGCCCAGGTGCCCAGCTCAGGCCGGGGGGCGGATGCCCGTGTGCTCACCGCTCACGGGTCAGTGACCACATGTGCTGTTTCGCAGAGTTGCACAAGCTGGAGTTGGACAGTCTCTCTGTGCAGTGCCCGTACAGCACCCTGGGATACAGCACGGGGACAAAAGCCTGGTGTCGAGAAGGTCAGACGGGGTATAAACTCGTGGTGAGCACAGATTACAGTTCAACATGGCATAACAGCAAAGCTATGGCACACAGAACATTGATCCAGGATGACACCCAGCAGAGGACTGTCACCATCACCATGCAGAAGCTGCAGGTTCAGGACACCGGCACGTACTTTTGTGTACTCTACAGAAGCTCTCGTCTCACCCCGATAATGGAAGTCAGGCTCTCTGTATCCAAGAGTGAGTACCTACTGGCAGCCAAGTGTGCCTGTTGGCAGATTTCTGCCCCACTTCCCCTGCTTGTTCTCCCTCCTGTCCTGTGCCACACCATGGAGAAGCCCAGCGCTGCCGCCGCACAGCTGACACCCATCTCTCCCTGCCTGCCTGTCTCTCTGGTGGATACACTGGCGGCTGCCCCTTGGGCCTGTGGAGCCAAAGCTCAGGCCTGACCCTTCACACTCTGTCTGCTCCCAGCAGAGACTCGTGGGAGGTTCCCATGAGCTCCCACAAATGGGGCCGCTCTTCGCAACTGCTTCCCATAGGGCTGATCCAGGGTCTCCAGGAGCAGCTTCCCCAGCTCAGCACTTGGCTGAGCCCATGCTGGGCGCTGCTGGAGACCTCCCCCACTGCCAAGCATTGCTCTTGCTATGGCCCCGCAACTGCCAACCCTCCCTGGTCCTTGCCTCCCAGACCCTACGAGCTGAGCGCCTGTGAGCATGTAGTCCCTGGGGGAACCAGAGGAAGAGGACAGGACCCCATCCAATTTGTGGCTCACCTCTGCACAAGTAATCTGGCTTCAGTCCCCATCTGCTCCTCATGTCTGGAGGTAGAAGGACATCCAGGGAGCATTCAGCCCACAACAAGTATTCCAGTGATGGGGAAGGGGTGCCATTGTGCCTGCTTTGGGATCTCATCAAACATGCCGGCTGTTTTCCAGGGACCCAAGAACACACAGCCAAGGAGTCAGGCAATGTCTCTGTCCGATGTCCATACAGTGCCCCAGACTATGGGACTGTGAGCAAAGCCTGGTGCAAAGAGGGAGATAGGAAAGCATGTACCATACTGGTCAACACAAATTTGGAGCCCTCAGGGTACCTCAGGACACCCCAGCAAGGCAGAGTCACGATCCAGGATGACACCCAGCAGGGGATTGTCACCATCACCATGGAGGAGCTGCAGGCACAGGACTCCGGCGTGTACTGGTGTGCACTTTATGAACACGATCATCTTTTCCGAATGGTGGAGGTTACGCTCAGTATTTCTGAGGGTTAGTACTGACCTCTAGGGAAACGTGGTTAGTTGTATATTCCAGACTCACTTTCCTACTCTCTCCCTCTAGTCTCTGCACTACCCAGCTTACACCACCTCCCACGTTACATCTGCTTGTGTTTGCCTGCCCAAACCCTACATCATTGCACCTTCTCACACCAACCGTGCTATGGAATAGCAGCAGGGATCAGAACTGAACCACATGCATGGGCTGTATTGCTTCTCTTTCACCTGAGAGCAGCTTCAGTCATTTTCACTGAGGTGTTTCTGTCACTCATTCTCATGATAGCAGTTCTGTCCCTTTGTAGCAACTCATCCCTTGGCTTTCAAAGACTATTAAGACTTTCACATTTGGTTGCCAAGGGGACAACCTTTAGACCCATATTTTAAAGATCTGTGACTTCTAGGTTTTCTTCCAGCATGATGTTTTAACACTAAGTGGTAAACACTTAGGCACCTGATTGTGGCAGACCGGCACCATGCTGCAGCCTGTCTGTCTAGAATTTGGCAGAGCAGCACTGAAGGGATATGGCAATCCAGAAGATGAGAGGGGATGGCATAATTCTCTAGGTGGAAATCCTAACGCATGGGACTGAATACAGTCTCTAAGCCAGCAGGCTCCTGCACACACAACCTCCCCTGGGGCACAGAAACAGTCCTGGAAGCAATTCTTACAGCCGAGTCCTTCACAGACAATGCTCTTTACTTAGTTTTTGCAAGCCTCTGTCTGCTTAAGCACAGAGTCGTTAAGTACTTCATTGCTACCTGAAGATCTTTGCCATAGAGCATATCTGCTTGCACTTACAGCACTTCCTTCTGCCATGCGTTGGGGTGGGTACACACAGAGCGGGGCTCCTGCTGAGCTCCTTGCCCCTCCCTCCCACGTTTTGATCCTTAAGTAGCTTTGCCTGCTGCCAGAAAATCTTGATGATACAGGTTACAGCCTGGGCAGCTTGTCTGTGTTGGGTGTCACAGCGGGAGTGGATTTATATCCATGTAGCAATGGCAGGAAAGTTTAGCTGGTAAATGCAAAGCAGCCCAGTAGTGATTATTCTTCTCTTCATGTTTGTGATTGCAGTATTGGCTGGAACAACTTTGTCAGGTACTGCAGGCACAAATCAAACAATCCCTTCTGGCAACACCCCAGCACCGAGGTAAGGCCTAGAGAAAGTCTCTGAGCTTGAACACAGACAAGAGTTATTAATGTCTTATCCACAATATGCCTGTTTTCCTGGGGTAGGCAGTCTCTGGGCATTCTGAAGACTCCTGCTTACAGAGGAATTAGATACTAATAATTAGATACTTGCTAAGGACAGGCGTCCTCGGCAAAGATGGCCTCTCCTCTTTCAGCTCCTGCCCAGAGTGTAATTACAAAGGAGGAAGCAGATTGATCAAGTCACAGCTTTCTGCATTGTAGATGCCCATCTACTTTTTAATCCTTATCTCTTTGGGCTGTGCTCTTTGCAGCAACAGAATCCCCCAGATTCTGCCCCTAAGCCTTTCTGTCTCGACTTCACTCACTCCTGTCCATGAATATTTAACAATGATATAGACCTTGGCTGCTATTTTATCCTTCTATTTACCAGGCTGTTAAATGTAAAGGATTTTCTTCCCCTTGGACATCTGCTGTCATCAACACTACAGCAGTACAACACTAAGAGTACAATCATACATCAGCTCCAGTGTGCCAGGTGCAGCAAAACACAGGAGGAAAAGGCAGAACCTGCTCCAGAGAGCCTGGAATTGTGCTCTGAACTTTGAACAGGGGCTTGTTTTTAAAGCCCGGAGAGTAGTTTAGGAAAAGCTCAGAAGGCACAGCCAGGTAGAAAAATCAAGATAGCATTGCTGCAGGAGAACCAGAGCCTCCTTCCAAGTGCATAAAAGCTAGTGCATAAAAGCTATTCCTGTCCCTTTTTTTGGTCACTGTTTGGTAATGGGCTGCACCAGCATCATGCTGTGCTACCATCTAACACTGATAACTCCTTCGCTCTCCTGACTTCAGCTCAAATGTAAACACCTTCATCCTACTCGCTGGGATCCTGAGCATCCTGTTCATCCTGGCACTTATCAGCACGATAACACTGTGTGTCAGGCGGTGCAAGCAGCTGAAGAAAAGAGGTATGTGGAGACTGGTGATGCCTCGTGTTCTAGTCTGTAGTAAACTGGGTCTTCTCTGGCCATCACTTTTCCACTCCAGGCAAGCTTATTCCCAACTCTCAGTGCCCTGGAGAAGATAAGGCAGGTACAGCCTGGGAAGCCTCAAGGCAGGCTCCTTGCTGTGATCTCCTCTCACAATAAGTCAAACCCATGTTCCTCCAGACTCTGCACAGGACACCTCCTAACATGTTAGAGGAGAAATAAAGTGAGAGCAATGTGTTGACCAGATTCAGGGTAGATGGGTCCCACTGGCACACCCATTGCTTCCATCACTGGGCAATCCCACAGCCTTCCCCAAAACTCCTGAAGCATAGGCAATGCCCAGGCATTTCATGGACTTCTCTACTTCTAAAACCTCTGATTTTGACTCATTCCAAAGGTACCAGACAAGCAGAGAACATCTATGACAAACCAGAGGACATAGCACAGGTAAGGAAAACAATAGATTTCCCATATGGTACCTGAATCCTTTACCAATAGTCTGTGAGGAGCTGGCCGACCCACCTGATGAGGACCTTGGTGCTTATTTTTGGTTGTGAGCAGGAGGGGAAATGGTATTTAATGTCACCAGAGAGAGGAATGTTCCCAGGTGGAGAGAGAGGGGGTTATTAATGTAAGGAAACTCCATCAGGAAAAAAACACAGTGGAGCAAATTCTAGTAATCTCTGAGAAATTACTCAAAGACTAGAAACCAAGGTTAGATGATGAGGTTTTAACCTCTATCAAGGAGAGGTGATGAAGGAAAGAGTTTTCTGTTCTTCCACCTCTATCATGACCGAAGGTAAGGTTTTACATGGCTTCTCCTTTCCTCCTGGAGAATCTTGTTTTGATAACAGCTGTGGCCTGGCACTGAATCATGCTAACAAGTGTTTTCCCTTTCTTTTCATAGCTTGACAGCACTGAAAGAATGGAAGGTCCCAAGGATGACAGCAAAGACCTAAAATATGTTACCCTGAACTTTAAATCCCGACTCAGCCCTGAGGATCCTCTTTACTGCAATGTTGAACCAAGTCAGACTCACAGGAAACCCAAAGATGAAAATGTGGAATATGCTATCATTGCACTCAAGCAGTTAACCGATGAATGACAAAGGATGAAGCACAGAATCCCAAAACAATCCAGAAATGGGAGAAAAGAACTGGAATACAAAGTGGGACTGGGGAGTAGAAGGTGTGTGGATGGACACTGGGGAAAGATCTAAGTTTTTGCTGCCACGTGTACGTTGCCTATGCATTTTAAGACCTCCCTCCTATTAGAGGCCAGTAGAGAATTTTGCCACAAGTGTGCAGATTCTCTAGGGTCAGACAGAGGTGCTGGGTAATTCTCAGGATCCCTTGCACATCTGCTTTCTTCAATTCCATTAAAATGCAGACTCTTTTGGAGAGGCAGGTGTGGAGGACTGACCTTCTGAAAAAGAGCAATCTTCGTCTGGACATGGATGGGTTTGGTATTTCAACTATGTTCACTGGTGGAAACTCTATCCCACTCCTAAGGGTTCAGCTACTATGGCCAAGCAAACTCATTCCAGTGCTGTAGGGATAAAGTTCTAACCTTGCTGTGACCAGGTTCATTTGCCATGTAATGGGTGGGGGATATGAGCACTGGATCACAGGAATAAGCAGAACCAGCATCTACCTGAAGGCAAATAGCTTGAGGGTGTATTGCAACACGATGATATGCTGCATTACAAACTTTGCAAACTGAGGATTGTGCTGTATGAATCTGAGCACCAGAAGGTCTTGTAGCTACAAAACAACAATGGTGCATATAAGTAATATGTACATTTTTTGAGACTTAATGCAAATTCCCCTATAACCTAAATTTATCAGTCTGCTTAGGTAAGAAGTAAGATGGTAAGAGGCTTTCAAACTAAAGCTAAATGTTTAGCTTTAGATCAAGAAATAGAGTGTGCACGCTGGAGTTTGGGGGTAGGAGGGAATGAAGGTGATGTCACTTCTGAGTGCACGTACAAGTGTCTCTTCGTGGAGTGCAGAGGGTTGTGGGATGGATTCAGTGCGGCTGCTGTTGCTTACACTAGCAAGAGCCTCCAACACTGTACCCTCTAGACAACTCAATTATTTCCAAGCTTGAGGGCTGAATTTGCTCTCAGGGTCATCCACAGCTACAGCATATTTATGCAGTCTTTGAGGCCTGTACATTGAAAACAGAATGAAGCAGCAGCTGAAATCTGAAGTTACAGGCATGGCTTCCCATGTGTAGCTTGTGCAGACTGACCCATCCTTTCACCACCTCCTAATCAAAGGCCCTTTGTTCAACAACTTGTGGCTGGCCTGCTGTCTTACACCCTCTCTTCCCCAAGAACACACAAACTGGCTGCTTAAACCAAGGCAGTGTGGAATCAAGACAAGCAGGGAGAACCAAAAATGAGTATTTCTGGAGAAAGGAAAGAAAGGAACAATATGTGGTATTGCACTAGAGGAGTGGACAGGGCACTGGGGTGTTTTTGAACAGAATTTGCCTTGCTGTGCTAACTGCAAGGACAAGCCCTGAGACAGACATGAGGAAGGTCTGTAGCACAGAGCAAGAAACTGGTAGGCTGTGTGAAGAAGTTGTGGGATGTATGACACAGACAACAGAGGAAGTAAGAGCTGGTCTCAACATCAGCTGATATAACAGAAGAGACACAACGGTCATTAAGAGTGGATTATTTACAGATGTAAATGTCTAAGTAAGTCAGACACACAATAGATTTATGGATCCCCAGTGCAGCTATGATGCAGGTTGGCAACTTCCAAGAGCTGCCACAGGAACACTAGACTGGCTGGGACCTCATCAAACCCTGCTATCCTGAATAATCACACCATAAACTATCAATCAAACATGTTTTTCCAATGCACTTTGTCTTTTGCCTTCATTGTTATAAGGCATTTTTGCATCTCTTCAGGAATCCCTATACAGCTAGTCTCAGATGTAGCTCTGTTCTTTTGCAGCACTGTGCTGTACTTTAAACAGCTCTTCCCAGACTATTCACCAGTGCAGCTGGTTCTTTGTAAGTTCTTTGGAAGACCAGTACAAACCAGCATGCCTGCTTCCAGCACTTCTTATTTTTTGGCTACACCACAGAAAGCAAGCTTTTGTTTCTTCTTCTGAAGTCACAGGAGACCAGAAATGCATGTGCAGTTTCACAGGAGAGCTCACCAGGGCCTTGGAAAGTGACACCATTACTTCCCTCTCTCTGCTGGAAATACTCCAGATGAAACATTTGCTGCCTTTATTTAGCAGTCATGTGGTGAGCAATATGAAATGAGTTTGTTGGGGCTCAGCTCAATTTCTCCAAAAGACCAGAAACCCTGGCACTTTATTTGGCTGCACCAAGCTCTGCAGACAGGTGGCAAATTAAAGGGGCCTGAACCACTCCCTACTCACAAGTCAGTCACATCCAATAGGCTTCTCTTGCTATGGCTGCAGCAAGGAAGCTGATCTATTTTTTGAGATTTTCAGAGTTGACATGTTTAACTTGAAATGAGAGAAAGAAAAAGAAAATGGTTCTCGAAATGGCTCATTCAGCCCAAGATTCCCCTAACTATTTGCTATTCATGCAGTCAGTTACACTGGGTCAAACGGTGGAAGAGTAATAGTAGAAAACAATTGAGTTCAAGAGAGACATTTTCAGGGAGACAGTTGCCTCTGATCAAAGAGAGTCCAGTTTTGTGCTCACTGGAGCAAGAATGAACAAAACCTGCAATCAGTAAGCCTCACAGACAATTTTTGGATACGGTAAGGTACCATTTTCTTAAACACTAATTAGAGGAAAGAAAAAGAAGGCACATTTATGAATGGATAGACCTGCAGGTTTATCTGCCTGTTAAAAAGCAAATAAGCACACCAGTGAAGAAGCCAGGGTCTATTCGTACTTGCATGGAAGATCTCCAAGTAAATAAAATCAAAAAAGACAAGACAGCAACCCATCCACAGCCTGCCAGTTTGCTGATGCTACAGGAGGCTCCCTAACTGCAGTCCTGAACTACTGCATCAGCATGGCACTGATTGGCTCCAAATCAATGCCCCCATCCCTTGATCTTATGTCCTTTCTGCTAGGTACAAAATAAAGATGTCTGTTTTGCTCATCTAAAGCACCTCACAGCTTTACCCAGCACAGTGTTCTTGTCCTTCTGTCCTCGGTTGTATGTTAAACAGGAATGCTTCATGCACAGGCTCTTCTAAACCTCCTTTCCCCTGAAAATAAACCCCAAGATTATGTCCTTACCCTCCCTTCACCCTTGTGATGCTGACTGCGCTACCTGCAGAGTCTCGATGACAGCCACCCTTTCCTTTTTGGCTTTCCAGAAACTCACCCCATGCAAAGCTCGCATGTAAAGCCCGCTCTGGTGGACAGGCACCATTGCTGAGCTGCGAGGGACTCCCAGTACCATGGTTTCAGGCCATCACATGATTTTTCTCTTTCAGGCTGTCTAGACTAAATTGTGGCTGTGAGTGGGCAATGCTGATGCCTGAATTTTCAGCCCACGAGAGAAATGCCCATCCCTGGTGAATTGCTCAATATGCAGGATGAAAAAGATGCCAAGTTCCTGTGCTCATTCCTTCCGGCAGAGCAAGGAGGGGGGAAAAGCAAGCTGCTCTTGAGCAAGAGCCCTTTTCACTTTTCTCCAGACTCCTCTCTTGTCCCCTTCTCTGCTCAACTGACATGGAGAAGCTCATGCACCTCATCTTCTTGGTCTTCTTGTCAGGTAAGAAAGCGTACATGGCCTTGGGTTTCAGTTAACAGATAGGGTAAAGGATTGGTGCAAAACTTAGTCTCTACCTGCACCTCGTATGAGATTACTGATAATGCTATGGGAAAAGACTGCACAGGTCTTGAAATACAGAAGCTCCTTCTGGATGCAAAGGCATCTTCGTTGTAGCATGCAGTTCTCAATGCAGACCAATACAGTTATTATGGATAAAGAGCCTTACTGCCTGTCTGTACACTGCACGGTCCAATGCATTGCAAGCAGAGGGAACCTGGAGCATTGCAGTGTGTTCTGCCCTCTACTCTTCCTCCCCAGTTACACTGCAAGGATGTCAGATTCCTTCCTCGGAGTTTGTTCTTTTCCCTTAATTTAACAAAGGGCCAGCGGTGATCCATGTGCTCAGCTTTTCTCACAGGGATCCTTTTGAGTCAGAACAGGAAACACGGTTGACAGAAGTCTTGTGTGCCTTCTCAGAATGAAATGTGAAATTGCAAAACCTTATTTGTTTGCATTTGTAGGGTTTCGAATGTAAATTGCAGCATGTAGAGTTCAAGAGGAGGAAAATAAAACTCAATTAAGGGGACATGTCTGAAATCTTGGGCACTGGACTATTATTTTCAGCTTGGAAAGCAATGTTCATCTGAAATGAGAAACAAGGCACAGGACCCAGCTGGTACTCCCAGCTGGCAGCCTTCTCTCTCCAGCCACACTTTGGAGATCCGATACTTGCAGCAGTGCACAGAAAGGCAACAGATTCAGGCTTTGGGAGCACAGAAACCTGTCTCAAAAATCTGAATAAATTTGGAAAAAAGTCCACTATACTTTTTTCAGTAGCACACAACAAGGGAAGAGGAACACAAATAGTAAATTATCTGTCAGCAGAATTGGTTGAAAAGGTAATGACATGAAGTTTCCACAGGGGCATCAGCAGAGATTTTTTGCAGTGCTGTTTCTATTTAAAACAAAACCAAAAAAACAAAACACTGGGGCCGTTCCAGCAACTGAAAGGGCAGAACTGGAGGTGAGGAGGGGTCCACAAGAGAAATAGGAGAGGGAGTTAAAATGTTTAGAGGGATTGCACAGGACTGGACTGGACACGCCGTGAGGTAGGCCTTGACTGGAACAACTGAGTGGAGCAACGTATCAGAATAAAGACTTGTAGGTGTTGCATACTTGGAGGGCACAGATCCATTTTTATGCCTTCTTGTAGTCAAGCCTGAAAGACCTTCAGGTATTTTTAGTTTACAATTCACTCAGAATGGTTGAAATTATTTTAAGAAGTGTTATTAAAAGGCTCAGCCAGCACAATGTCCTCACAAGAGCCTATTTTTTAATTTACTTCTGTTAAGTAAATCATTACTTATGGTTTCACAGAAGGCACTAGCCTCTGAATTTTTTCACTAGAAATACGGATTTCCACAAATACCACACTGTACTCCTCTCTGAAATATTAATAGCTCACACTGTCCCTTCTGCCTTTGCCTACCATAAAGAGGAATGGAAATTAGAAATAAGGAACTAAGGCAAAAAAAAAAGGCAAGCAGCCGAAGACCAGTTGTCAACACGATTAAAATTAGTACAATATTAAAAGATAGGGTGAAAAAAATTGCTAACCCCCTGGATTTAGAAATTAGGAGTGGGATTAAGAAGTAACCTCCTAAACAGCTAGCTGGACACTGGTTTGTAGGTGTCACTTTGATTCTAGCATTTGCCAGGGCTGTGTTGCTTCTCTCTGGCTGTATAAAGAGCCTTAAAATGGGGATAAACTTCATGGGCATTTACTGCAAAGGACCTCTTCCGCAGCAGCGGGTACTCCAGAGCCAAATCTGCATCTATGAACGTATGTGGAAGGGCCAAGCTCAAGGCCAAAACCTGAAGCAAGCTGCCTTGCTGCAGCTGTATGCAAGTAAGCAGGTTGGATGTTGCAAAGCAGGGGTGTTGCAGCAAGACTAGTCTAACGAGAGTTACACAGAAACAATTTGTCATTATTGGGTCAAGCTATGTTTTTATGAGCTGCCTTGTAAAAAGCTTTTAAAAATCAAGACAGCTTGCCTGATGCCAACTCAATCTACCTGAATGCCCAGCTTCATGCTCCTCAGGACCAGAGGAAAATGCAAGTTTATATTTAATCCCCTAATCATGCTGACAAACTGCTTCCCCTTACTGGGCAGGAGCCCAATGATTACAGAAAGTGTGATGTGGTTGAGCTCCAGACTGCAATCCAGAGCTGTCACCACAGGGCCAGAATGGAAGGCAAGGACCAAAATTTCCTGAGCTTCAGAAAATCTGCAAATATTAATGAAGCTGATACCTCCTCCCTCCCTCAGTCCCCCCCCAAAGAATAGCTGCCTGGCCAAGAGCCAAATAACACACCAGTCAGAGGGATCACTACAGATGTATTTCAAGAAAGTCTGAACCAAGACTCTGAATCTGAGCACACTGTATCTTTCATGGGGGAAGCAGACAAGTGACAGCCCTACAGTTGACAGCAGCCGTCACTAGAGTTGTAAGAGGAAAATGACATTTAGCATAAACATAGTGGTAAGGGATAGATATGAAAGAGGCTTGGCTCACTGCTTCCTCCTACTCTCCTAGCATCCTGTGCTGCAGAGAATGTCACTGTGGTGTATGGAATGGAGGGGGGCACCATTTCTGTCAACTGCACTTATAACCCCTGGCAGCAGCGGTGGAGAGAAAAGAGCTGGTGCAAGCAGATCGATGAGACCAAGTGCCAACATGTGGTGAGCGCCCGACGCTTCTGGCTGCCATTCCTAAAGAACAGGAATGGCACCATCTCCATCAGTGACAATGTCCGTGAGGGGGTCCTGACGGTGACCATGAAGCGACTCAAGAAGCAGGATGCTGGATTGTACCAGTGCAAAACTGACTACCTGGGGGAAACAAAGAGCTTAGGGAAGGTGCAAGTGGAAGTGCTGACAGGTACGTCCTGGGGCTCCGAGTTTCATGAGTTCCTGAGTTGCTACTTAAATTTCACGTGTGTCTGCAGATGCCAAGGCCTCACTTTAGTAAACATCTACTTTTGTCTTACTCTAAGGAGGTACATGACCTCACTGTTACAGGACTTCTAACACGTCATCCCCTTATTGCTGCCCAGATTAACGTCCTAGCACAGGGCCCAGTGCCCAATCTCACCTTGGTTATCTATGCCTAGCTGGGCCACTGGTGTTGGTGTCACCAATGAATATCACCCAGAAACATCTGCAGGCTAAACTGTTCTGTTTCTATCATCAGCTGTCCTGGAGACCCAAATGCCAGAGGAGCCTAGTGCTGTGCAGAGCATCTCCAGGTAAGCCATAAAACTCCTCATGCTGTGATCTCTAGTCTTCCTCAGACTAAAGCAGATCAGCATCAGCAACCCCATTTGAACCTGAGAGGCATACCACCACAGGCATATTCTCTACCTCTTCCTAATCCATGACAATTCTCAGAGCTGCTGTGTGGTTTCTAAACAGCAGCTTTATCTTAATCCAGAAAATGCAGTGCTTCAGTGCCAAGCAAAACAACTCCTGCAGATCATAATTTATCCGTATGCGAGATCTTGCAGTTAAAACCTATTATAGTTGTTCTAACCTCCCAGGCTCTGTTTTGCACAGGCAGGGATTGTCTGTTGCAGGAGATGTTACCATCTTCACATTGTATACTACAAGAGTTTCTTTAGAGGTTGAACCATCCCCTTCATGGCTAAGCTTTATTGTTGTATTTATGGTTCCCCATAGCATCCCTCCTGAAGCTGATTTCACTGTCTTCTATTTCATTGCTGGATTCCTGGTTACTAAGTTCATGGTGGCTGTGCTGATCTTTATAATTGGCAACAGTAGGAAGAACCGAGAACCAGAGCAGGAGAACCCAAACTTGAATGAGCAGCAGGTCCTCCCTTTCACTGGTGACCTTGCACATGATGGAATCAGCCCCTCCTGGGAGAGCACTGCTTAGACCTAAACCAAAGGGAATCCCCAGGGAAATGAACATCAAGCATTTGCAGGCAAAGCTTTGCCACCTGCCGTAAGAAAAGGATTGCCTCCTAAACACAGGTATTGAACCTATCACGCTAGGGAGGGAATGTCACCATCTACCACCCCTTCTCATTGGTGCTGACCAACTTTTTCCAACACAACTGAACTGAAAAGATGCTGCCAGTAACACCTGAACCTAATGGAAGAGGATGGGATCGAGGGCCAGGGGGAAAGGAGGAATATGAATTCTTTCTGTCAAGAGATCCAGCACAGACTTACCTATGTGCAGAGATGCTTCCCCAAGCATGGTAAAGGTGAGAGAGCTCTGCTCAGTTTTCCCCCCAGCTCATTGCTAGGCCAGAAAAAACTTTGCTGCTCTGTACAGCTACTGGCAAATGCTTTGTTATAAATGAAACTACTGATACACCAGCGAACATAAATAGAAGTTCAGGTAACACATCTCAACGACCATGTGTTGAGCAACTCACAGACACATCCACATAATGTAAAAATGGAAAGACATGGTTCTGTCTCAAATCTCCAAGAAACTTCTCCTGATGCATTGAAGATCAGTGTTAAAGAACTAATAGCTTTTTTCAAGGTGTCCTACATGTCTCTACAAAATGCTCGAATACTTCCCCCAAAAGTATGAAATATAACCAGAACTAGATGGTTTGTATTGAAAGCTAATATTATTATTTGTCTAGAAATCAGCTTTTTAACTGAGATTCCATGCTTTAAAGACTGAAGCTTTTGACACACTTTTGGTAATGCAATGCTCTGCTATCATCTCCAGTCACTGCCAGTAGCTGCACCACACCACCAGGCAGAGTTATTCCAGATATTCACCCCCAGTATCATTCCACCAGGGTCTGAACTGAGACCCATCAACTTCATGTCATCTCGGAGCAGTGCCAGGTGAGAGAGTCTGTCTTTCCAAGGTGATGAAGACTAGCTCCCAAAAATTGCCTTGGACAGTGTGGATCCTTGGTGAACAGTCACTATGGAAAGGCGTAAGGAACTACAGAACATAACAGAAAGGGATGTGAAGACTATATGCAGCTCTGAGCCTGCTTCCTCATTTCTCAAATGATTTTGTGAACCAAGAATGAACTGTCTCTCTGTATTTCTTCCTGTATTTTTTCTACCCTCTCAAGGGGATGTTACCAACATGTGATCATTGTTCATCGCTCCCCAAAGTGAAGCTGCATTTAGCTCTCCCAGGAAGACCCCAAACCTAAGGGCATTCACACTTCTTTTCCCTGCACTGCCTGAAAAGCTTAATAAAATCAAACTGATTATCTGACTTGGTGTGGATTCATGATAAAGAGCTGCAGTACACCAGATCACAATACATCACCCAGAGAAGAGGTAACACTTAGAACATGCTGGTGTGTTTATAATGTATGGAAATGCTCTAAGCCAGCTGGGCAATCCAGCCAGCTCCACTTAGCACCATGCAGAAACAGCAGCTCAGATCCCAAAACCAGATCAGGCTATGTACGGTTGTGCTCTGTCTAAACTGATTTCCTCTATTTCCAGAGGGTAAATTAGCCCATACACAGTTGCACACCACTGCAGCTGCACTAACACAAACCTAGCTTCAGTATTCCTGGATGGTACTGTGGTGCCCAGCTAGACGTGCTATAAAACAAGGGAATCACAGCTCTAACCAGGAGATCTAGGTCCTAGTTCCAGCTCCAACCTGTTGAGAGACCTCAGGCAGGGCCATCCACTGCCTCTGTGATGGCACAGTGATGATTCTCCACCAGTACACAAGGGTTTTGGGAACGAGAGATATAAAACTTGCATGTAAGTGCAAAGCAACAGTAAGGATTAACACCTCCAACTGAAAGCTGCTCTGTAATATATCAAGGTAGCACTACAGACCGAAAATGCCTATTTCTTTTCCAGCCCACACAGCCTGATTGCTAAATATGGCTATCTAGACAACAAGATATTTAAAGTGAAAAAACAGCCAGTACACATTATGCAGCCTTCCCACCCAAGAAGTAATATTAAGATTGTGGTTAAAAGATATTCTCAGCAATTCCAAACTGGCATCATCATTCTAGGCAGCAGACGACTGCAAGTGACAGAGCAAGTTAGCTTCCTCTGCAACAGAGAATTTCTCAGCGATAAAGAAGCTCTGGGATACATTTTTTTTCGTCTATGCCCTAAAATACTTTCTGCTTCAGGATGGGGGGTTTTCCAGCCTTGCTGTTCTTGCTGACACTACCAGGTAAGGCTCAGAGACTCTTCATTTCTCCTAGGAACAGGATGCTCTCTGTGCTGTTGCATGCATTGCACACTGTTACTTGCTTGAGCACTTTTTATTCAGGCCATCTATAGCCAGGCACAGAATGAGATTCACGGAAGTCAATGAGGGGAGGAAATGTTCAGCCTGAAATTTGCTTATTTTAATTACACAAGCTTTTGGGTTCTCATTTTTGTCTATAGTAGTTCTGTATTTTGTCCAGAAACTGAACTTCATGGTGGGACATTTGGCAATCTTTGCCCATCTGAGACCTTTCTCTCCCACTATTGCAAAGTTCTCAGTCTGAAATCATCTAGCATGTGGGGAGGAAAATCTGTGTTTGTTGCTCTCTCCCAGATCAGGTATTGTGAGCAGTGTCATAGACAGGCTAGCTGCTGTTTGCTTGCTTACTGCAAATAAATACTGAGTCCACAGAGAGGAACAATAGGAATAACAATGGAAAAAGGGTAGTGGCTCTAAGGCTAAGCACAGATGTTTATTTAGGCAAACCTGCAGAGTTAAATTACTCTTCTCAGAGGCCCAGCGTGAGGGACCCAGTGGATATAATGTAAGAAAAAACTGCCATACTAAGCTGTAACTAGTTGTAGCGTTATTTTCTTCTTTCTTTGGAAGGATCATGCATGGCAGGAGAGGACATGCAAGTGTTTCTGCATACAGAGGGAGAGTCCTTCAGAGCTAACTGCTCATATGACATGCACAAGAATTCACATGAGAAGAAATTTTGGTGCAAGGAGCTGTCAGAAAAATCTTGTCTAGTCTTAGCCTTGAATTCCCCTTTAAAAGAAAGGATTAACCTTAACCATGCACTGCATCGTTCAGTTGACCTGATAGACTTAGGACGTGGCTGGTTTTCTGTGATCATGACAGCACTTCGAAGAGAGAATTCTGGCACATATCAGTGTGGGGTGCGGGGTGATCTGAAGAATATTCTGCTGCAAAGAATACAGATGGTGGTTTCACTTGAGGGTGAGCTATGAGGTCAACAGTGCACCGTGGGAGACAGCCAAAATAAATCAAGAATGATATGTCATCTCCATTTTTGTTTCACAGCAAAACATGGTGTATCTAGACGCAGAGATCCCATTAGAGGTTATCAAGGACAGGGTAAAACCCTATTATATAGCTCAATATAGAACCACAATATGTACCTATATGTATCTAGAGGCAGAATTGGCCAGGAAATTATTTTTGTCATATGAAATCAAAAAGTTTCAAAGGAAAAAAAAATAAAATAATCGATATTTTATGGATTACCATCAAAAACCATGAATACAATTTTGTAGGATTGTATTAATCAAAAATAAATGGGTTTGGACAGAAATATTTCAAGTAAGTTGATGAAAACTAAAAAACAATACTTGCTTTTGCACAAAATTTTCCATTCTGTTAAAAGTGTTTTACAGTCACAGAAACCTTTCACACAGAAAAGCTTTGATAACTCACATATAAGACTCATGAGATGGAACACCACCATCTTAAACTTGAACACATGTATGACGCATAAGAAATATGCTGAGGTGGCTCCATGTCCCAGCACCTGGGGAATTTGACAGGAATAACAGCCCTGGAACCTGATACAGCCCACGTTCAGAAAGGGCAGCAGTAATCCAAATTTCCCATTTGCCACCCCAACCTCATCTCCAGTGACCACCATCCTCAGACTGGGGCTGGTTATTTCCTTGTCTTCTGCAAGTTCTCTTCGTGCTGATGTTAGCTCTGCTCCTTTGTTGGATGAGATGTATACCACCATGGGGATTGCTTTTTCCTGTCTTTTCTCCCTCTAATGAATCATCACTCTATTTTCTTTAGAACCTGTAAGGCTATTTGCAAAAAAAAGCAACTCCCTGTCCCTCCATTGCTCCTATTCTGTGATAGCCAAATCAGGAAACTTCAACATTTTATTTGGTGCAAAATGGTGTCCCGAATTAGATGTCAACCTATTATCAGAGGTAACTCTGATCAAAGTATCATTAAAGTAGGAAGGACTGAAATGATGAATGACTTCTCATGGAAAATGATTAGAGTGTGGCTGAAAAAGCTCCGACTTAATGACTCAGGAGAATATAATCTTGAGAGCCAGGGGAGAAACAAACTACTGAATAGGATCGTGCTAGAAGTTTTGGGTGAGTTAATCAAAGAATTAATGATCTTCTAAAAGTCAGCAATTTCTTACCACTTGACAAGAAAGATTACAGGTCAATGTTAAAGAGCTCTCTTCTGAGCCTGGAAATTTCCTGAGATACAGATAATTCCTGAATTTCTTTTTTTTAAACAGATTTTTGATACATACTAATGGTATAAACAAATTGCAGCCAACTGATGAGGGGAGTCTGGCTTGGCTTCATTGACTAATGAAATTTTACATTTACATCAGCAGATGAAAGACTCCAAGCAATCTGAATCTTTGCTTGAATTTCTACCTGAGTTCATCTCTTTGCCACTGCTCATTAGTAAACTTCTGTATTTATTTTAACACTTTACTTCCTTTTCTGCTTTTAGCCAGCACGGGAGGCAGAAAAACAGAAGATACTTAGTGGAAGCTATTCTTTGATTTTTCTGATGTGACTGAAAAATGTGTATGGGAATCATATGACGCATCTTTTTTCTAAGATGCTTCCTTTCTAACAGCATTCAAGTGCCCAAATAAGCAATTCAGTTTTCATATCGTTCTCTAAAACAGCATAACTTTTCATGGCTGACGTATACCTTCTACAAAACTTGTCTCCTGCAGGAGCTGTCCTTTCCCTTTGAACTGTCACAGGACCCAAACTTGTAAGGAAAGCAGAAACCATATCTCATTTGTCCCTCTGCACATGATATAATCATTGAATAAGTAGGTTTTCCAAGGTGTCATGCAATCAAGTATCAAGTATTTTGCAAGAATGAAAAAACACCAGAGGACCACAACCCAAAGGGAAGAAAACTGGAATCACAGTATGTCTGTTCTTGTCCTACTAGCTACTTACTACTGGCTCTCTGGCTGGGCCTACACTTGATGTTTTCATTTAGATACACTGATAACGGGTACTATCCAACAACCTAAACAAAACTCCCAGCTATTTCCTAAGGAACTGATTGATCCCATTCCAGTGATTCAGCTGCATTAATAAATCTTCTTTTACTGGTAAATAGCACAGGATGAATATTCTTGTTCAACTTCACAATTTCATAGCTAACAAGCAAGCAGTAACTCCGGACCATTCTACAAACCTGCAGAGCAGGACTTTTTAGCATAAGAAAGTCAAAAGGGATGGATTGATGTGGGAAAATCACCTACTCTTGTTTTTTTTCCAAGGGTTCACAATTTCATAACTAACAAGCAAGCAGTAACTCTGGACCATTCTACAAACCTGCAGAGCAGGATTTTTTAGCATAAGAAAAAGTCACCAGGGATGGATTGATGTGGGAAAATCACCTACTCTTGTTTTTTTTCCAAGGGGAAAATTGGAATCGGGATGCAGATTTAGACACCATTTCATTTCCCACTAAGAAGGGGGATGTTGCCAACCCCACAGATGACAGCAATAAGGATCAGAGGTAAAAAACAAAGACTCCCAGACTCTAAGTATAGCATTCTGGATGCACTGCAGGATTTGAGGAGTGGTGTGACAAACAACTGAAGCATGTGCATGCACACACATACACACAAACAGGCTTCCCCTTCTCCCCTATAGAGTTTGGTCCAACCTTCCCAAGTCCCCTGAAAAGCTGTAGAATGTTTCTATCAGTTTCAGGAGCACTAAGTGAGGCCTCTACTGAAGATGCTCAGTTTGACTGTATTCATCCTTTCTACCCAGTAAAAAAGGGACAACTATATGTCCCATGCAACGCTACAATGACTCTGCCTTTTGTACAAGCAGACCAGCCTAAGATGAATCCCAGTTAAACAACATAGCATGTCAGACAAGAGTTATTACCAGGCCTGATCAAAGGTGACCCTATTAATGATCCTCATCAAAGACAGACCATAAGAAGGGCTACTGCATCCTGATGAGGGATGCCTTTGAACTCTGGTAGCACTACAAATGACTGCAGGAAGAGAATTCAAGCTCCTGAGTATTCCCCAGGCTTGCCAAGTGCCAAAGAAAATACAGCTGGGATGGATCCTCTGTGGCTGTAGATCAGTACTGACCTCATGGAACCACGCTTGTTTAGAAACAACAGGGGTAGTATTTGCATGCTGAATTTTTATCCTGGAACCATAATCCATTTTCAAACACACAAAATCCCCTCCCAAATTAACCTAGTCACCTCTGGTGCTGTAAATAGTAATGGAGATATCATGCTTTTCCCTGCAGGACCCTCTATGCTCTCATGGTGCTGAGTTCCTTCCTGCCTACAACTGCTCTGATTGCTACTGTTATACTCCTCGTCACCACTTATATCAGAAGGAAAAAGGCAGGTAAAGCTCCCTAATCCTCTTGTCTAGTTTTCCTGCCCCTACAGCTTGTCATCCCACCACCCTGAATGTAAGGAAGGTCTGTTCATAGCAATCATTGCTCAGGGAGGCAATGAGACTGAGCTGAGAGTGAAATGCAAGATCTGAGTTAAATCACAGGGAAGGGATAGTGGGGGTAGTGATTTTTAAAATGAAAAGGTAAAGGTTTTACACTCAAAGGAGATTCTGTCCTTCATGGCAGGAAAAGAGAGGGACTTTGGCAGACATCCTTCTTTCAGCCAAGCAGCACTGCAGGTAAGACATCATCAGAAATCCCACATTCCTGGTGCTTTGTTTGATCTCTGTCATGCAGAGACACTGGCTCTCTGTTCACCACTCACGGGGAGCTATAAAGCAGTACCATGCATCCTACAGTGGATGGAGCATCCACTCAAGCTAGCACACTAAAGCTAGCTGTCTATATTTGTTGATTGTCTGATATCTTGTTGCAAAGCAGACACAACCTAACTCGGTTATTTGAGTAAGTCATAGCCCTTCTGCATATTTTTGTTTATAGTACTCAGAAAAATAAATGTAGTAACAAATATATAATTTTGATAATTAACTGGCCTTGAATCTTCAGTAACATCACCAAAGGTTCTCATCAAAGGAAAACTTTACTAGTTGCAATCGCCCTAAATATTTAGTGTGTCAACTGTTGCTGCACCTTTCTACCTAGTCCCTTAAATCTGAGGAAGTAAATTTTTGTGTAAGAGAAGTTTTCTAAACTGCTCAGAGCACACATTCCCTTTTCCCATGCAAACCCTCCCCTCTCCCCCAGCTTCATGATACAAGGAGAAAATATTTGTGGTTGTAGATGAACCAAGACTAATATTCAGAAGCAAAAATGCTGAATTTCTTTTTAACTTCTCATTCTTTGTGGTTTCTCAGAAGGACAGAAGAAACAAAGCAATTAGAATGCCAGATGGGGAACTGAATTATAGTACAATATATGCTGTCATAAGGCACCAACCTCAGACAAAGCCTGAAGATGTTATATACGTCAACATACAGCCTTCACCAGAAGTTTTATTCCACGCTCAAGAACCACCAGACAATTCAGTTTCCTCAGGGTCTGTGGAATATGGTACTGTTATCTTCAGAGCCGCAACTCCACATTCTGGAACTGAAAAGAGAAAAAAACCAGGTCCACCTAAACAAAGCAGCACAAAGCCTTGGGCTTATTCACAGAATTTTGCTGAACTGCACTTAGAAACAATCCATTTATAACCAGTTGCTGAAGCTGGATACATATGGGGTGCGAGGCAGAAAGCAACTGAAAGGATGAGGCACATGGATGCACAAACCTTCCCTGAAAAACTAACTGCACTTTTCTAATAGTACAGCATCACAATTCAGCTATTGGTAAGCAAATCTAGTGGAAGGCTATGGTATATTTGCTTTTTCCAAATTGCTCTTTTTTTAAACAACAGGCAACTATAAACCCAAATACAGGAAACTGGTTCTCTCTGGTAGCAACTGATACAGTGCCACAGTCAACAAAGGGCTGTGAGATACGGGAACACGATGCTCTTTTTTAGACTTTCAACTTCAACAGCTCACTTAAATATTCGTATATAAAATGTTAATTATTGCCCGCGCTGATAAGATCCAGGTCAGCAAAGTGGTAAAGAATCTGCTTTATTTTAAAACATATGAGTTGTTTCACGGGCTTCAGAGAGACAAGTAATGCACTTGACATGTTTTAGTAAACAAGGGTCTTGTTGAAAAATATTTGTCTACCTTACAGTATAAAATGTCTTCAGCTTGAACACATGGGCACAGAATTTACACCCAAAGTTATTTGGTGTGTATATTGGCTATTTTTACAAAGAAATAACTTTGTATTTCCTTGCCTTTGGTGCTTGTTGTTTATTAATGCCACACCTATGCTACAGTGTAAATCTAGCTTGACTTTATTACAAATTACACACATTTTGATCAAACTACTGAATCCTGTTATCATGGCCATATGTGCAAACATCCATTAGGGATTATGGATAAATCCCAAAATTAATCTGAGATTTTCATCTTAATTCCGTGAGTTGGGCCCGAGGATGCTGAATATGATACAAAAAAGGCTTTAATTTTTTGGTATTAAGATTGCAAGAAGACTCCAATTTAGGTACTGGGTGGCATGGGAGGAAAGGGACGTGAAAAGGCAGAGAAGACGCCATGAATCATATAAACTCCACTCTGCCTGTGAATGCTTGTACAATTTTGAGGCGGGGGGAGAGAGAGAGAGGAGAAAGAAGGAAATTCTGTTGACTGGTCTGATGTGGCTACATGATAGCAGGCTTTTTGCCATTATATCTGTCCTGGTTTTGGCTGGGGTAGAGTTAATTTTCTTCATAGAGGCTGGTATGGGGCTGTGTTTTGGATTTGTGCTGGAAACGGTGTTGATAACACAGGGATGTTTCAGTCACTGCTGAGCAGTGCTGACACAGAGTCAAGGCCTTTTCTGCTCCTCACCCCACCCCACTGACCCCAACTGACCCAAGGGATGTCCCACACCATATGACGTCATGCTCAGCAAATAGAGCTGGGGAAGAAGGAGGAAGGGAGGGGACGTTTGGAGCGATGGCATTTGTCTTCCCAAGTCACCGCTACGTGTGATGGAGCCCTGCTTTCCTGGAGATGGCCAAACACCTGCCTGCCGATGGGAAGGAGGGAATGAATTCCTTGTTTTGCTTTGCTTATGTGCGCGGGTTTTGCTTTACTTATTAAACTGTCTTTATCTCAACCCACGAGTTTTCTCACTTTTACTCTTCCGATTCTCTCCCCCATCCCACCGGGGAGGAGTGAGTGAGTGGCTGGGTGGCGCCCAGTTGCCGGCTGGGTTAAACCATGACGATATCTGAGATTATTTTGTCCCTCTATTACAAATTCTCTGAAAATAAAGATAGGAAAAAACATAGTAATAGCTAAAGAAATCAATTTCTGGCTTCCTAAACAGGCTTGCAACATTGCATTCTTTATTTCCTGTCCCAACTTCCCATGTTCTGTTCTTGCATACTGTTATTTCCTTTGGTTTTGGGTTTTTTTTTTGGTCATTACTGCATTGACCAACTCTGGAAAGAATTAATGACTGACACCTTTGTGCTTTGGGTCATTTCTGAGATGTCAAAAGTGTTAGTGTGGGAACCATACCATTAAGGTCTGAAATGATACACAACAGGAAAGACAAATAGTTAACATAATAGGCTTCAATATACAAATTCCACTCCTTATTTAGCCTGTTTGACTCTTGGAAAGCATGTAAAACTTTGTATGCCCAAATTCCTCATCTGGGTGCAATGGCATACACAGTGAAAGTTCTGGGGGCCTCAGATCCTAAAGTAATAGAAGTTAAATAACTAACTTAATAGAGAGGCTTACTGGTATACACTTCTTTCTGCCTACAAAGCTGAAGATGATCTACTATCATATGATGAATTTGAGGATGTTTCTAGGGACAGTTTATCTCTATGGATGGCATCAGTCCTCTGTCACAAAATGTAAATATGTAACTGCCTGATTTAAAGTAAAGACACAAGAAATATTCTCAAATCTTTCTAAATTTGTAACATCTTACAGGTATTTTCCTTCTGTGCAAATGATGGAGATTTGCTAGTAACCTGAACTGCCTACAATGAAGGAAGAATTATCATAAGACACAGTTTAGATTGGCATGTTCGGTAGTTAAGTTTGGAAAGCATCAGCAGCCCATCCAATCTCCTTGTTATGCTTAGCTGTGGAACCCCATTCAGGAATGGTCTAACTTATGTATGAGCAGCCTCTGGACATCTAGGACATGACAAACCTGGCCATGTCTTCAGATAAGCCTGACAGAGACAGCTAGTTAGTGACCTAGTTCTATATTGGCTGTTGAATAGTGGTGTAGACATGCATCTGGCTAATGTCTCTGACGTCCTCCCAGCTTATCTTTCATTTGATGGTAGCAGGAAATAAAGTTGTGGCATTCTCAGAACTGGGTGTATCAGATGGGCAGGGCACAGCTGACAGGATGTAAGAGGACAGGAGTTTTTTCTAAGACAGAGGCTATTAGTCAATACATTCTGTTGCAGTGCCTCTAGACATTTCTGTCCTTCTACAGGATGTCTAGTTAAAACTCACTCCAAATCTAAACATTCTCTGCAGCCTATGCTGAAATAGTTATTTGTTTCTTCTTTGTCTCACTTCAAAAGCACTAAACACTAAGAGGACCATTTTCATCTCTAATAGGGAGAATATCCATATGACTAATGGCTGGGCACCTTCATCTGTTACCTCCTGTTCACTGCAAAGAGCTCTTGCCCTAAGTGTACTATAAGAACATAACAATCATATAATAAATTATAAATTATACTCTAGAGATTCTGCTACAGTCATCATAGTACTATGCCATCTAAGTGCTTTCCCGCAGCAGTTCTGCAAATTGGGTAAAATGTGCCATATGCATACGAAGCCATGGAGATATGATCAAAAGGCAGAGATGAAAAGGACGATATTTTATTAGCCACTATGTAAACCATACAGTTCACTCCATGTCTTCAAAGCCCCACAGAAAGCAAAATGGTAAAGTAAACTGAATTTTGGATATACTGCTTGAGTGCAAAACTACAGAGACCAAGGAGTCTCCTGCTAGACAAAACGAAGCTGGCTCATTCATACCTTTCCTCTTCCTCTGGAAGTAACTGAAACATGAGAACATGGAACAAATGATTGCCTCTAACTCCTCCAAGTACAAAGAATCAGCAAAGTGTCATTGTATGAAGAACCTAAAGAAAGAGAAAACCCAGCACTTACCAACCCTATTCAGTTCACATTAGTAGTACAAAATTTTATTAATTCTATTCACTTTAGAATACCTGTTCAGTTGTTCTCAACTTCCTGCCTTACTTTCCTCCCATGCCCAGCAATTGCAAAATACTGATTACCAGAAAGGAAAACTAAACAATAAAGGACAAGATCCTAGCAACCATGACTAGCCCAAGATTAGCAGATAGACGAACTTCTCTCCAAAGCAAGGGATTGCTTTAAATTAGGCTGCTCCTGTTCTTGTTAGGGAACTGGAAAGAATTTCAAATTAAGAATAAAGCAAAAAGCTGTAAAAATCAATGTCCCGAGTGGCTTTGTAGTCAGATACACTATTATGTGCTGAGGGCACTCCCTCCAGGCCTACAATGCCTGCTTACTCCCTTGTGCCACTGCCCTTCATGCTCTTCCGTATTCACAAATCTTCAGCTGTGAGGTCCTTGAGAATTTATTCTGCTCTATTTGCCAAGAATCACACTTCCAGCATTTCTGCATTTCATCATGATTGCAGAGCTGCCAGCAATGCAGTGACAGAAAACCAGGCCAGCTTTCTTCAGGACCCACCCTGACTGCCAGCCTGTGGGGGGGCTTTGCAGCACATAACAGTGTCTGAGTTAGGAGGCCAGATCCTGTACATTCAGCAGAGGGAAAAAGGCATCTTCAGGAGATACTTCCAAATAGCAGGACCTAACTGGATGCGCTGAACTGCCTGTTGAACTGCCAAAAACTTCTATCTCACCTATGGGGACACTGTACCCCCTAATTTAGACAGTGTATGGTAATGCCCCATTATAGCTGGCATTAGAAGTACACACCAATTTTCTATTGGAGCTCTGGGACCACTTCAGTGTAGCTAAATACAAACTCATCCAGTATTTCCAAGCTGTTTTATGGATAGCGTAAAGATGTCACTCACAGTTGGTTCACTTGGAAAACACCATTAAGGCATCCACTGCAGGAGAAAGAAACACAATAGTGTTTGGGGTAAAACTTGCCTTTTTTTGTTCTGTTTGTTGCCAGCTAGCGATATTCATATGTGCTTTCAACCTTTGCGAGCAGAGAGATGCTTTTGCACCAGTGAGGGCAAAACCAGGCCCCCAGAACTGCAGTAGTGACTACTGTTCTTTCAAGAACATAGCTTATAGCTACAAACACCTGTGAAGTTCAGTGTACCCCTTCTAAAAGAGCGCCTATCCCAAGAACACAGGAAAAAAAAAAATAATAGGCAGAACATAATGTTTTGGGGTTTTTATATGGCTGCTTTTAACCCAAAGAGCTTTGCAAACTGTAGACATACACAGGAACTGTTTCAACAATATTGTAACATGCAACTACTTGATACCACACAAAGATTACCTAGCAGTGCGGGACCTCAGCCTTGATAAAAGTATTTATGTCATCGTAGTGAATGTTTAAGTTACAATACTGCTGAGAGATCCTGAGCAGTACCTGTGGAAGAAACAGCATGCCTGAGAGGGATTAGCAGGCAGACATGGAAACAGACTCTTTCTTAAACCTTTCAAAGCCTGCCCAATCTTCTTAAGAGGAAAACTTCCTTTTGTGCCAAAACACAAGAAATAAGCTCTTTCTAAGGGTGTCCATTCAAACATATTTGGCCAAAAAAGATAATGACATGATACCTGGGAATTTGGAAACAAGAAGAAACTGCCTTCCTGGAAGGTAACCAAGAATATAAAGGAATGAATGTCTTAGAAAGAAGAGCATTTGGGTAACATGAAGTTGGATTGTCATCTCTTACACTTACGCAACCCTGTACAGATTCCATCACTGCACCCATAAGACACTCCCTGTGCTCCAGGGCAGCTTCTATATAAACACTGGGTTCTTCTGCATGGCCTTTCAGGGATAATTATTCAACGCAATGAATCCTGCAGCAAGCATGCGAAGAGACTGAAACGTCACCGAGGCATGCTGAGCATTATGCCAACAGATATCCAGGAGCTGGCTAGCTATGGAAGGGACATAGTGTGACTACCAGGCATATTTCCCTTAATGATTAGAATGGTAATTTTTCTTTCAAACAATAATTGCTGTGCATCCTCTTTCCTCCCAGCCCAGACTCACTGAACATTTTCCCCACATTCGAAGGACACACAAAAGCAACACTGGCCAGCTCGAAGCAGCCTTCCTTCCCTCCCCCAGCTCAGTGAGGCCATTTTCCAATTCCAGGAAGGTCACAGCAGCTTGCCTGGGCTCAGAGCTGAAAGGCAAGGCCTCCTTCCACCCTTCCTGAAGCCCTTCCTCAAACAATCCAGCTCCTGCATGCAAATCACCCTACAGCTGCCATCTTGAGGCACTACCTTAGCCTGAGAGGAAGAGCAGCAGGGCAAGATGGAGGCCCTCTTCACCAGCCAATCAGAGGTGTCCCAGAGCAACACCCATCCAATGAACACCCACGGTCAGCTTCCCTCAGCCAATCAGCTTCCAGCACTCACCAGCAGCCGGGCCCCAAGGTCAGGCAGAGCAGTCCTCTCAGGCAGCAAGATGGCAGGATGGGGATGGAGGGGAAGATGAACACCAAGATGTCTGGGCCCTTCCCCACAGGGCAGAAGCGCAGCAGGCGCACCCAGCCATCCCCCAAGGTGAAGGTAGAGCTGACCCCTTCTCCTCCCTGCTTTCATGGAGGGCAGGAAAGCTTGCTGGCCACCTAGGCGTTTCTCAGCAGTGCTAAAACTGCCACCTGCCCTCGCTGCTGCCTCTTCACCACTCCGTGTCACTGCTGCCACTTGACTGAAAAGAGCAGAAGGTCTGAAAAATAGAGCCAAAGCTTGTTCTTCGTTTATAAATTTTTATTAGCTGGATAGTGTACACAGTACTTACAATTGCATCTATTAAAGACCAAAATACACTTGAAAAAATGCATCATATAAAAAAAATTATAAACTTTTAACTATATACAAACTTTGCCTTACATTACGTTAATCTCAATACCCTCCCACACCCATTCACAAAAGATTTTCTCTCTCCCCCCCCCTTTTAACATGCAAGGCCTTAAAGCCATTTAGCATCACTTGAGGACCATTTTCCACATCCCATTCTTTACACCCATATAAAACTGGGTTTTGATCGGTTCGCTGCTCCAGTGCTCTCTGGGTCAATCGACCACGTTTCTCATTCTCCCCGAGCCGCCTCTTTTATCCTCATCCACACTTTTATGCACTCCCAAAGTGGAGTTTTTGCTCAAGTGTAGCTAATCCACAAAGTATTCTCGTTTAATTACTAGAGAGGTTTGAACTTGATGACGTCTCCAATTTAACAAATTTACCCAGGAAAAGAAAGCAGACTTTTTGATAACATGGTGTTGACCGATAACTCCAATCTCACCAAGCAAACACTACTTTTAGAAGTGAATACACATAACCCAAAGCAAATGAAAAATATGACAGTAGCACTCAGGCTTTCACATCACTATTTAAAGTATTAACGATAAGACTTCCTATATAACACAAATCCATAGGCCTTAATACACATTCTACAACAACAGATCAGAGAACCTATATATGAAGGTCTTATTGGGGAAAAAAGTTCTAGCTGTTCTGAAGAAGTTTACAAGTTCTTTAAGAAAAGAAGTAATTACTCATTAAAAAAAAATACCTATGTCAGAGCAGTAATCTTGCTTCCCTAACTTCCAACTCTCAGAGGGGGTTCTCCAGAGATTAGCCATCAGTTGAAGAGCAGAAATGTTATGGAGAGGCTGTCTTACTCCAGCACGGAAATATTCCTCCAGCACATGAATACGCCACTGACAAAATGTACAGATCAACTAAAAAAATATTTACAATAATGCTGCAAATTCAACTAAAGCAAATTTTTTGTTATTCCTTCACTAAAAGAGAGCTACATATTTCCTGAAATGGGTGACCTCACAAGAAATGCTAGGTGAGGATTTCATAGTTGCCCACTGAAGAAAATAAGCACCATGCTCTAATTGGCCTAGTATTTTAAGGCGGAAGCAACCAAAGGCACCAAAGATGCCATCAATGCAACGGAGGTAAACAAATGCCTTTTGAATCATTAGAAAAAAATCCTAATGTAAGATTTGTGAGCAGAGCGTTAGATTACCAATATAATTTAAGACAAAATCGAAAGAAAGAAGATTTATTTGCATGTAAAGAACGAGGCCACTTCCTTCCACAGCTGCAGGTGTCACTGTGCGTTGAACAGTTTCTTTCTCAGCTTCAGTTCACCAGGTCAGCTGTGAAAAGGGTAAGAACATGGAACTAAAAATTCAGAAAGAAAATGAACTGAACTCCATTTAGAAAATCCAGCTGCCTAACTACAAATATCAAATCTGCATTTCTTCTTTGTTCTTTCACTGGCTACGTTCCTTCACAGATGGCTGACCTAAACATTGTCATCCTTAGTATCTAGACAGGCACACTCTTCCTCCAAGATTGCCTGCTGGCAATGTAGAATCTAACATTTCTCCACATTTCTGCTCCCTCCTCTTGCATTCCTTCCCATCTTCTCATACTCTTAGGTCTACTATTTCTCTCTTTTATCCAAAGTAAATAGAACTTTCAAGGCTCTGTCTTTCTGTACCCTCCCAGTCTTCTACGTAGAAACTTGCTATTTTGTCCTCCATTTTGCATTTAGTCATAAGCTTTCAGTAAATGGGAAAAGACATAGGAGGGAGATAATATGGGTTGCATTTTTCAAGTTTCATTTACTTTTTTTGTCACTTGAAAACAGAATTCACTGAATTTAAACCAGTCTCTCCTGTCCTTGGATGCTTTCCTCAAAAACACCCCACCCTTTGCTGCTTTACCTATTCAGGTTCATAATCACCTCCCTCAATAACAATGCCTGGCAATATTTCCAATCCATGCTTAACTGCTGTGATGCAGTTTTATGTTTTACAGAACACAAAAATTGGAAGAGATGGGACTATAGCGTGCAGGTGATACACAGAGAGCCTGTAAAACTCATTCAAGATGGGAGGAGACAGGCATGGAAAGACGCAGGTATCACCTGTTAAAATGCTTATGAACTACAGCTTCCATCGCCAAATTTCAAATCATTAAGAATGGAGCAAGCTTAAAATCTGTAATGAGCTATGGAATTAAAGATAATGATATGTTTTGTCGAGATACTCAGCCAGAAGCCAGCTATAGGTCATGAAAAAATCCTTTTTTTTAAATGTAAGTACTCCTCCTTCATTAAGTGCCACATTTTTTTTTTAATTTAAAGAGGATAGTCTATAAAAAGCCCGAAAGGTTCATCAATATCTGCCTTCATTTGGTTAACAGTCCTTCAGTTACATCAGGATGAGCCGAGTTGAGTTGCCCTATGCTTCTGCTGTCATGAAACAATCCCTCACTCTGTGTAGAATGAGAGAATTGTGGAACTGATTTAGAACAGACATCAAGAAACACCATCACAAAGATGGTCAAGTGCTATTACTCGGAGATTGCAGATTTTGCGTCTTTTGGAGGAACCATGCACTGGACTGGCAAGTTAGAAGGAAGATTAAAAAAAGAAATCTTTTGGAAGAGAGTCACTTAGAAGTTTTAATCCTTTTTATACTAGCATCCACTTTTCTTCCAAAGCAACAACCACTGGCAATAAACATACCAAAAAACACCAAGAGATTACTTTTACTATTTAAATCCTTATCCCCACATCACCCTCTCCCCTCTTACTTCTTGGAACAGATACACGACATATCAAGTCCTGTAATAATCTTGAAATATTTCTATCATTGTGACTGGATGGCTGAACTTTTCCCAGAGAAGAGCTTGCTGTTTACATATTTTACAAGGTGGAACTTAAAAGAACCCCCTTCAGTTTCTGCCAGTTTCAGAAGTGCAGATGCAACAACAGGGAACAGTTCAGTTGACAATACAGTCCAAAGGTGTAAGGAATGGATGTAAATAACAAGTCTCTGCTGGGAAAACAAAGTACTGTGGTGTAGCCACGTCAGTGCTGGTTGCTATAAACTGGATTATGTCTCTGTACCAAGGGCCGTAACTCCAAGAGGTCTTTCCTGGCCCTGCTTCAGCATGCCAGAGTTATTGCTGATCACTGAGTCAGTGGCACACTCTCACCCATAGCCAATCTTAATGCAAGAGATGTTTAAAAGGGGGAAAAAAAAAAAAAAAAAAGGCATGAACAGTCAGACTCTGAAATCGCTGCGCTGGATCAGAAGAGTATACCAAGAAAGTCGTTCAGTTTCTATTTGTTGAGTCAACTGCAGTTAAAATCTCGACCACATACTGAAAACGTGGTGCTTGTTCTGTAGAAAAGGATAGGCTGTGATATGGTGATTGTCCCGTTGAAAGACTCGCTTGATACGCTGGAAAGGTAGGACAGACTTGCAGAAGGGACGGGAATTCTGTTCAGTTATTTTTTTTCTTTAAGCAGTGGTTAGGAGACTCTGATCATCTGTGTCATTGCTTCTTCATTGGCCTGAGATGGATCCTACAGATTCAAAATACATATCATGTTGTAACTTCAGCATTTTTCCCGTAACAGCAGAGAATCACGCACAACTCTATCAAGAGGAGATACTCCTGTCCCCTCCCTTGATCTCTAAACATGTCATATTTTTCCAGGGTTTTACAGGCCAGTGTAAGAGAATGGGATATATAAATCCAAATAGTTCCTAGTAATGCGTTGTTTCTGGTAATAGGGAAGACCTAGTACTGGTCTAGTATTTGGAAAGGATTCCACTTCAGAATAAGAAATAGTCTTCTGCTAAAGCCACAGGACTGCTTTAAAGCACTAATCAACAACAGAATTTGCTAATTCTACTCTATTGTGTCCCTTCCTTTGAAAACCTGTCTTGCACTTTTAATGTAAATCAATGTGCAGCTAAGAATCAGATATTCACATTTTTTCATTTTCCATCAGATGTAAGATAAGGTATTTCTACCTTTAATTCATGTCCTAAAAAAATACTTCTGGTATGCAACCAGAAAGGCTGCAAAGACTGTATTTCTTAGGACAAACAAATACAAGCATTCTCTGTAAAACAAAGTGAATACATTTCTATCAATGTTACTATAATTTAATTACTCAAGGCAAATAGACACTTGCTCTCTACAAGAAGTGAGACAGAAGGTTTCTTTACAATGCCTGAAACAAAGTCAAAGGCAGAGAGGGACAAAGGTCAGCAGCCTAGCCCAAAAAAGAACAAACAGAACAGTACAAAGACACCTCTAAAGTGTATTCTGAAGAACTGCAAGTGGCAGTTGTCCAAAGAACAGACAAAATTCTACTTACCTGCATATGAGGGCTGTCTTTTTCCTTTGGTGAGAAGAAACGTCCACCTTCTCCCCGCTTCCTGGCCATGGCATGACGATGCCGAGATTCATGCAAATATTTCTGCAACAATATAAAGGAGGTAATGAGAGACCAGCCTACTATTTGTAGTTCAGTACTTTCAGTAGGGGAAATTCCTGACCGCTAGAAAAGCCTACCCAGTCCCCATCCTTCCCCCTTCCCCAAAGATAAAGTGTTTACAGTAAATGCCCATTTGCAATACAGCTATGTGCATATTCAACAATTAAAAGCACACAAAGGAAGCAGGACTGCCACCAAGGGACTTAAAAAAAAAAATTACTCCGATGTAGCTTTATGAACAACAAAACAAAACACAAACAAAACCAAACCAAAACAAAATCAAAGAACACTTTAAGATTCCAGTCTTCATTTTCCAGCACAGGTGGTTTTCTGCGCCTTTCTCATAAAGCAACCCTGCATTAGATCCGAGTTATATGCTCACCCTTCTTTCTTTGGGAATTTTTCCCTCTGCTTCAAGTTTAGCACGTGCCTGCCTCCTCTTAAGGATCCGGTGATACTGCTTGGCATTTACATAGAGGGGCTCTTCTTCCAGCATTTCTGCTCCAGGCAAAGGTATTCTCTGGATAGCTGGTACTGATCCAGCTCCAGGTACCATCTGTGCAGAGAAGAATATGTTTTTAGTACTTGCAGCTCAGAACACAAAGTGAATGCAAAAAAGTAATTTAAAAAAAAAAAGTTAAAATGGAAAGTGAGTGGTTTTGTCCAGATAATGCACCTACTTAAATTGAAAGGAGTAATAAAGTTGTTCTCAAACTGCAGAACAAATTTAAACAAATCAATTACATATCAGTTCTGCTTGGTTTTTTTCCTGATAACGGTAAAATTTCAATACAACATACAATTCTATGACCACGTTTACTGCTTCTTGTACAATTAAGCATACAGGACATGCCCATTGCTTCCCTTTCTTTTTGATTATCACTTATTTACCTTATATGATAATTTCAGAGCATTTCTTAAGCAAATATTACTTGTAGAGCTGCTGACATCTAGTGGGGACGAACAATAAAATTCACGTTAAAAGGCATCACACTACAAAGATAAGAATTGGCAGAAAGCCCTCTTATGAATCAGAAAAACAAATATGAAGGGATCCTTAAGAAAAGCAACAGTTGATTCAATATTTTTAAACCTCTACTTATCAGTTAACAGCTTATTTTGCATTTCAATTTCTAGATTTCTGATCTCAATAATCTGCTGTGGGAGAAAGTACAGAATACATAGATCGCAATAGCACACAGGCCGTTAAAGCTGAAAACTTACCTTTTTTAAACTTTAAACCAATGGTAGCTACTGAGAAAACTGATCATATTAAGGTGACATGAATCTCAGACAACAGTTTGTGTACAGGCATCTTAAACCTCAACCTTTAAAAAGATCAATGGAAAGTTAAATACATACCATAACCATTCCACCTGAATTGACAACATTTCCAGCAACTGGCAGCGTCACTGTGACAGTCCCTTGTCCACTACTGGTTGTATTGGTGTTGGCTCCCGTTTGGACAATTTGCGCTCCAGCCAAACTGGCTGCTGGAATGGTGATCATGCCTGTAACAGGGACTGTAACTTTAAGAAAATAAAACACAAAAGAAAAAAGAAAAAAAAGAAACAAAAACACGCACACAAAAAGAAGGGAACACCATTAGTCCCACTTCTGTTTTTTACTCATTCATCCTTCCATAACATGCAAAAAGAATTAGAAAAGCATTGCAAGTTACTAACTAAATTCCATCACCTGGTCTTCATACTTCCTATTTTTTGCATTTGTATCCACACAATAATTCCAGTGTCAGATAAGAGATCACGTACTCTAAGGTGTAAAAGCAAACTTAAGTGTTTCTAGTCTAATAGCCCTTGCCAAAGAAAAGAGCCATATTTTATTTTTCTGGGGAAAGAACCGCAGGCTGCATTCCTGTATAATAACATAAACATCTCTTCTTCCATTCACTATGCCAACAATTCAATATCACAGCACTCACAGCACTACTAGTATTGCAACTCAGTGTTTTCTTTGACAATAATTACAAGGCAATAAAAACCTATCAAAGAGATAATTAAGAAGTCCTGACTCTTTTCACACCAAAGCTCATACCTTGTTGGAGAATGGTTCCATCAGCATTAACTGGCTGATAGACTATGGTCTGGCCTTCAGCTGCTTGTGCTACCTGTTGTCCTTGAACTGCTATTTGTTGCTGGGTCTAAACAAAACAAAGAACACAGTAACTTTACAAATTGCTTATTTTTCAAATTTTACAATTCCTGAATTAACACATGGCGCTTAAGGTGTTTCAGGCATCTATTTCTTTTGCTTTATTACCAGCATCAAGAAATAGGATGGAGCACAAACCAATTGAACTGTAGATAAAATACCTAAAGCACATATAACATACTTCTTCTAACAGTGTAGTATTTAATATTGAAAGAAACAAGTTCTAGGTTTCCTGTCTCACTATGAATATGTTAAAGGAAGAACTATTCTGCTCAGAAATTTAATTGTGGTCCTAAACAAAAGAATCAGCAGAAAACCCAGGTATGACTAGGCTACTTCACAAAATGGCGCAAGTATGAAATTAGCAATACTTCGTTTTCAAATTTCAATAGACAAAAACAACCATGAACCAATAAAATACAGAAACACAATGGATAAAAACATGCAATCTATTTATTCTGCCCCAGAGTTATGTATGAAAACACTACAAAAATATGAAATTTATTCTCAAGTTCTCCTCAATATTAATAATTCCTCATAAAAAATTTTTTTTTTTTTTTTTTTTCCCTTTTTTTACTTAACCATACCTTAAGTCATTTGTCAAGTTTCTCTTCCTATTTCTCTCAAGAAAACCCTTTCATGCTGGTGCAGTTACCTGTGTCTGGCCAGCAGTAACTGCAGTCTGTGGCTGCTGTATAATGATCTGCTGGGTCTGGCCCTGCTGCCCCTGTACCTGCACAGCCTGCCCACCTTGAATCTGAATCTGACCTGGCTGGACCAACTGAATCTGTGGAAGAAAGAGTCAGAAAGGAACATTAACTATGCCTCTTATTTCTCCCTCCTTGGCCTCAGCATTACCAAATCATCTCTGAGGATGATTTACTGTTGCAAAGAAAAAGAAAGCACTGATTCTTCTCTTTTTCCACTTTAAAATGAAGAGTTTTAATTTATTCCTCCCTGTGACACAGCAGTCACAACCATGTAGAATAGAGGAAACATAACATGCTAGCGTCATTATGCCCTAGCAGTTCTCCACTGCTTACACAATAAAACAGTCGAAAGAAGTAAAATATTCACATGAAACTAGGAATAATAATACTCAGGTGAAAGAAAAAAAAGGACTAAGATTTAAGATATCTGCAGAGTGTTAATTATCCAGCATACAGAAGTAGTCCTGGATATACACAAAAGTTGACTTCAGCTTTGCAGAGAAGTCTTTCCACCAACGTGGAACATTTCTTAGATTAGAAGAGAGAACTGGAATACGGTTTGAAGCTTGTGCTTAAAAACCCAGTTATGGATTTTCCTCCAACGACCAGACTGTAAAGAACCTAACACAAAATATACTGGGTTTCAACAGAAGAAATTTTAAATAAACACTAAATAAACCTCTCAAAACACCGAGACATCATGTGCCTTCCTGGACTGTGCCGAACTTGATTCCTAAATCCCATTCTCAAATCGCTAGAACACTTTCATTATGCCACTGTTACAGTTCTTCCCTTTGCTTTTGAGGAACACATTTTGAGCACCTGTTTAAATTTAAAAACTGTCTTTTAGACAAATATTTCAAAATAATTGCTTCTAATAAAATCCATCTTCTATACCTTCTACAGTTTTACCTTCTGTGCAATGGAAATGTTTAAATTCACCTTCAGCCATCACATACTAGATGAACTCAAGCACAACAGTTATTTTCAGGAAGCTTAAATAAATAAATTATCTTAAATAAATAAATATTAAAAAATTTTCATCTTTCTGAGCCATAAATTGAGTAGGCACCAGATCACCACCTATACTGCAAAGGCCAGTTAAAATAAAAATAACAGTAAAAAACCAAACAAAAACCCCTAAACCAACTCCAGCTGTATTTTAATGGACTTCATTTAAAAGGTTTGCACCATCCCATAAAATACAAAAATCAAATACACAAAGAATTTTCATTGCATTCTTAACACGCAGCTCACTGCCAGATCCATAGCTGGAGAACAACCGTATATGCCCAGTTTATTTTAAGAGTGCTGAGGGTGAGAACATCACAGTTCATTCTCTGCAATTTATCTTAAATAAAATTAGGGTTATCTCACCTGCTGCAGTCCCTGTGTTCCAGAAACGGGGACTTGCATGATTGTCTGGCCCTGACCCCCAGGCACAGCCTGCACCATGATCGGCTGGCCAGTTGATGTGATCAGCTGACCTCCGCTTACTTGTACCATTAGTGGTTGACCCTGGACCTAGGAAACAGGAGAAAAAACAAACAGAACAATGAAAAAGTCTGGTGACGTGAAGCCAGAAACTGAAGTGGCTACCACATGAGGCTAAATGCTTACCTATTTTAATGCAGTGACCAGAGAACCTGAGCAACAGTCCCCTGGGTTCATAATCAGCATCAAAGATCTTTAGTTTCTAAAACTTTTTCTGTGATGTGCTGCTGGATTTAGTAAATTATCTTTTTCTGTTGCAGTCTAACCAAAACTTGCAAGTCTAATTGCAATAAAGCATGAAAAGCATAGCTAAATTTTCCAGACACAATAACTATCTTCATGCACAGCCCGAGAGCGAAGTGTAATAAAAGAAACTTCATTATCCACATCACTATTACTAGTTTTTAATTGGGGTTCCTAATGAGAAAAAGCTCTAAATAAGCTATTTTGAGAGAGATTCCAAGGTAGCTTCAACTCTCTGCAACTACATGCTTACGTAAACATTTCCATTTCCTAACCGGTATGTAGCATGCGATGGTCTTAGAGAATCTTTTCATGGTTATTACGTGAAATTATCAATATAACACCACAAAATGTACTTCAGTAAGGAAGAGTGAAAAAAAATGAGCAGCAGCCACATCCTGGCCCAACGAAGCTTACAGTGGATTTATAAATTCAGCTGTAATAAGAGTCTCTGGACTCTTGGACCAGGTATTATCTCTGGTCACTAGGAAAAAGGCCAATGAAAAGAAAAGCAAGGGGAAAACCTCTCTGTTTAAACACCCTTACCCGCTAAGTCTCCAAACTCCCCAAAATATATCTTTGAAAATACCATACCTCCATGGCTTAAATGTGAAATGAGTCTTATGAACTAGGTAACCACTCTTTACCACGCTCTGAGTTGTTTAGAAACAAGAGCAACACAACATGATAAGAAGTCACCGAGTTCTTGGGGTTTCTACCTGTAAATTTCAAGAATATGCAATAGCAAATGCTCACTCTTCAACCACTGTAGAATACCAGACTAAACATCAGTACAGATTTTCAGCACATACTGAGCTACCTAAAAAAGCTTCACTTCGCATAGTTCAAATACCTTAGTGAATTATATGCTACGGAAACAACCACAGTTGTACCTCGGTGATCAATGCCTACATAGAATATTGTTGACTTTACAGGTCACCTAATATCCTTGCGACACTGTTCTGTCCCTCAACCTTATAACTATCACATACAAGTCCCTAACAAAAATCGGTAGTACTTGGTTTGAACTGAACACAGAGAGAGAGATAAGCATGCTCACGTCAGCCACAGAGAAGCACAGTCAGCAGTACAATATCCAACAAGCAGAAAGAAAAATGATACATTCCAGGATTCTTGTTAATGTATTAGAGCAAGCGCAAAATAAAAAAGGGGGGGGGGCACATAACAACGACCAGGAGGCCACAGTGACCCAAGCAATTCAAGTCAGCCAGCTTTTCGTATTTTAACTCTGAACATAAAAAATGCTGTGTTCAACTTTACACCTGGCAAGACCATTCCAGCCTCTTGGAACTCTCCTTCTCTGAAGAATTAAAAACCAAACAAAACCAAAATACTGAGTGAAAAATGCATTACTAAACTGCTACGGCTATCCAGGGTTCATCAACTCCTTTAAAAGCCTCGTACGTGAGCTAATGAAATGAAGTTTGCAAGACAGGAAATACTTCACATTGAAACAAATCAGGGTTCAAAATAACCTTGCATTTCCTTCCAATTTGCAATGTAATTGCTGTTAGGATACATACTTCTCCTGGGTTTCCCTATGTTGTTCACACGTAAATAAGAAATCAGATCTCTCAATCCCACAGAGGCCAATATCGTCCCCAGGGGCCCTTTTTAATCACAGATTGAAAAGTTTTACTCTTCAAGCTCATGGGTCATCTACCACCTCTCTGTCCTTCTTTCACGTAGCGAAGACACAAAACTACTCACAGTGGATATCAGAAATCTAATCTCCTTGAAACTACAGGAAATCTTTGGGTTATCTCTCTTGACTATTACTTCCTCATCTTGCTGTTTTTTGCTTTAACTCCCATTTCAACCACTATTCACTTTCAGAATTACATCAGCAGGAATTCATGAATGCATCAGGGTTTCTGGCATGCACCTGAGATCCAATGAAAAGCTATATCCCACACTCTTCATGGAAAACCCTACAGCTAGCATAAAGCACAGCTACTACTGCTAACAAATTTTCCTGTTCCTATTTCAAACCCTGGAAAAAACACAGCATTAGATATGTGGCGATGGTGAGAGTCATGCAGTGCTCACAAACACAATTAGAGAGATCACCACTACCTGGAGGGTCTGGACTTGCTGGCCTGAGGCGGATGCCACCTGGGCCTCAGTCTGCAACTGGACAGCAGTGACACCACCCTGCTGCTGGGAATAGGAACAGGAATAGCTTGAAACATGGAAACGCACAGCTCTGACAAGAGACGACGACACTTTGCTGGAAGAGGGTGAATTTAAAATTCATACACACTGCTCTTGGAACATAAGGAATGTGAATAAGTTTAGCAAACCTAAGAACGGAATACCAACAAAACTGCGTAAGATACTGACAGGCTTCAATATCCCAAACAAAAATCACTTACAAAGAACAGAAGAGATTATTTTGCAGAATTTAAAATCTCAGCTTCAGTGTTTAGACTGCTACCTTTCTGCTTAATGTTTCCTTTCACTGCCCAGGTTTCTTACTGTGAAGGGGTTCCAGATTTTTGTCAGACTTGTTAGTTACAAAAAAGGCCATAAATTCCTTTCTGCACAGAACAGCAGCACAGATGACTACAGTCTAAGCTTCATCTATGTCACACCTTCATCAATGTCTTCCCACCACTGACCTTGAAGGACAATCTTGAGAGGTTGCAAGAGCAGTTAAATCTAAAAGCCTTTTCTATCTTTAGCCTCTTTAGTAAGAGTCCCAAAATAATCTGTTAACTGTGTTAGCATTTGGGAGATGAAGGACATCTCTCTACTAGAAGTCGTATTACAACAGGCCTGTTAAAAAACATTTATTTTAGAAAAACATTTCACATCAAATACAACACAGGCTTTAAGAGCACGTACTATAAATGAAACAAGCCAAGGTATGTTTTTACCTCCCTTTTACCTACAAAGTGTCAATAAAACCAAATATATCTTTGGTTACCTGCTGGAAGCAGGTATTTTTGATAATTCTTAAGATATAATTTTTTAACCTCAAGTACAATCTTGTTCTGACTCAAAAAGTCAACTTCAACTAAATTCAGTGGAAGAAGCTGGTCCCTGCTATCAAACACTCAAATAGGCTGATGCAAAGCAAAGCGTATCTCACTGAAAACATAATCCAGTGGCTCATTCATTTGCATGACAAACTAAGAAACTTCTCTTGTCTTGAACTAGAACAAACATAAGCTGCAACAAAAATTCAGCACCAGCACAGCTCATCTGAAAATACATTACTGTATCTGAATGGGCAAAGCTTAACAACAGTAAAAATCTATAAACCCTTAAAAAACCCAGCCCTACTCATCTGCACATTATAACATGAACTAGAAACTTCTTTCTGGAATGGATGAATTCATCCAAAGCTACATGTTTTGTTGCAATTCCTGTACTGTGTGTTCATTTTGATCCACCTGTAGTTCTAAAACAAAGGATCTCCATCAATACTTCTCTTGAGAAAGCTAGAGAAACCCTCTATGGGCTTGAACAAAACCTATTTCAATTTTGGGGGGAATCTACATTGTTCCTTGTGGACAACTGATCGTATTAATATTGGGTTTCCTCCATTTTCAGAGAGGATTTGTTACTTTCCTCACGTCACTGCAAACTCCCTGCTACACTGAAATTTGGTAACTTGTATACCTGCAATTTTATTGATTTAATTTTATAGCAAGTGTTTTTTTAAAAAACGTATTTACTCTGACTTCAAGTCAAGTCAGATCACTGACCACTGATCAGGTGACAGAAGTCAGGTAAACACATATCCAGACAGTATCATGAAGCATCTTGCTGGTTCTGTGAAACTCTGAAAAGTACAAAAAGGTTCGTAACTCAGCACTGGCAACGCCAGCTCACCCGTTATCACTTTCCATACCTGCTGCTGAATCTGTCCAGCCTGCACAACGATCTGCTCTGTGGAACTGTTACTATTCGCCGTGTACTGCTCCATAGCGCTTCAGTTCCAATACGATAAAAGGCACACCTCAGCCCGTGTATCTGGCAAGACAAGTTAAAAAAAGCAGGTGATTATCGTCCCAAGGTTTGAAGATTAGTATTATCTTACAATAGCTGAAAAGCAAACCATCTGCTGACATTGAGGTCAGAATCACACAGTAAGAGCCGCTGTTTAATCAAGGACCTACCTCTTTCATAATGTCACCTTACTTTCATTGAGTAACAAAACTAGAATTGTAATTTCAAGAACACATAACTTGACTGAGAGGCAAAAAGCATCTCAATCTCAATTCTGTCGTTATCTTCAGGCAATCAAATAGTAGCTATGAATCTGATTCTCTTCCTGTTTTACCCCTCGAGTCTGTGTATTCTGGGCTACAGACAGTTGCCTGCGCTGCATATTGGTGGAGGAGAGGGGTGTTATCAGTAAAAAACCTCACAAAATACAAAGTTTAGGTGTAAAAGCAAACTACATTTCAAGAATTCAACAAAGCTAAGTGAAACTCTCTCCTTCCCCAACTACGCAGCACTCCCTCCTCATCTCTCTTTCTTCTCTTCCTACTTTCACGTATTTTGAAAATAGCCAGCAGACTTCTCACTGCTTCCATCCTTTTACTGCCTCTCATTTCTTGGACCCTTGCCGACACATATGAAGAACACACTGTTGAAACAAAATACTTAGTTCCATTACCTCCTTCTCCCTCGCATTTATTCCCTTCTCAGTTGATCAACAAGGGAAGAATTCTTACTATTACTTTTAATGAGGTATTTGATTTATGCTATGACTGAACAAGTACCTGCTACATTAGTGAAAAAGCAGCCTGTAACTTTAATCTTTGAAGTCTAAAGCAACAAAAAACCAGGCCCCTTCAGTTTTCAAAGAAACGCACACAAAATTTATTCACAACTTTAACTAACTGTAACTGTTGCTGTGGTTACTACTGTAACGACACCTCTCACACTTCCTGCTCTTTAACTTTAAAACATCCTTTGTACTTCAGTGCCTTGCATTTATCTTAAGAACATTCATTTTTTCATCGACTTACTCCTCACCGTGACCTAAGCAAACACACAATGATTTTACATTTTGTTGTTTTCTTGCACGTTAACACCAAATGTCGCTCACCTACAAAAATAAACGATTAACCAGTATGTATCATGAAAGACCAGAAGCATGCTCGTTACAGGGGGCATAACACTCAGCTATAATAATGCAAGAACCTTCTCAGCCCCTATCAGATCTTTTTTTCAGAATAAGGATGTAATGATGCCAAGCCTGGAGATCACAAAGATAATCTGAGTCACAGCACCGAAAGGCACTACATTTGACTGCAATTTTAACTCTATCCTCGGTCCGTTTAGTAACAGTTTTTCACAGCCTGCCAGCATAAAAGGAGATAAATACTCTTTCTGAAGATGATACTGGCTACTGAGGTTCTCGTTTCACTTTTGCGCTGTATACTTAATTTCTGCCCTAAATGCCTGTGGGCCTGTCAGAAAACAGCTCCCACATTTCATTCTGCAGGGAAGTATTTCAATAGCGAGCACAGGATGCCAGTAAACTGTATTTGCCAGAAGTTCCCTGGCTTCCTTAGCGCCACAACCAATACTCAAGCACAGGCATACCTCTGCTCGGGAATGCTTCTTCACAGACCCCCATATCAAGCCCCCATCTTCTTTACTTAAAATATTAGCAGCATTGTAATCCTAACTCTCTGCACCAGCTGTGGCTAGCCAAAGTTACAAGCAGGAGATTTTACATGTGCTGGATCCTAGTCCTCCAAGGGATTACTTCATTCCCTTCATTAAAACACAGAGCACCAGCGTTACTATATCAAAGTTAAATTTTAAAGATTGCTGATCTACTTCAATGGCACGCTCCTCCCACAGCTGATCTCACCAGTCGGCTCCTCCTCACCCAGCCCTTGTCTGCACTGAAAATGACTTAGTGTTCTATCAGTACATATTAATATATATATACACACACGTATGAGGCTATAGAAGCTGCATCAACAACAGTTCTCTTGGCAAGTAAGTTATGCTAAGAACAAACGAGTGCGATAAACTGCGCTAGGACTTGAGCTAGCTTGAAAGCATCGTTTTAAAACGTGCTGCACCCTGAAGCAACATTACTAAATTGGCAGAAGTTTCTAGGGCAGACCCTGTCAATCTACCCGGATGACGGCTGTCCTCTCAGGACGCCAGTGGAGGACAGACACCCACGCGAAGCCAAAGACGGGATTTAACTCAACAGCACAGGCCATGCTCTTATCTCCCACCGTTCGGCAGGATAAACAGGCCACGCTCTTATCTCCCACCGTTCGGCAGGATAAAACATGTGGTACGCAGATTTTGTTTCCGACCTCCTTATCGCACATGCAAGTCAATTGGAGTGCACCCAGGGACGTTTTTATTTTATTGCAGAAAGCCGCAGACCTGGGGATTTTCTCGGCGGGCAGAGCACGCTGCGCTGTGCTCAGGCGGACGAGGCAATGCCCTGCAGCTCACGGAGGAGAAGGCAAGGTAGCAGCGGGGCCCCTCGCTCCCGCAAAAAGGGCAGTTTCGCCTCACCGAGGAGCACGTGGCTGGCGACATTTGGCGTCCAGGTGCGTTTAGCGGAGGCCG